AACCGGAATCTTTGCTCGCCGCCCTTCGGCAGCACCGCTCGAGACCGGGCCCGGCGCAATGAACACGAAGGGCCCCTAAACTCGCCGAGCGGCGAATCAGGGCTCCCAGACGGTTTACAAAGAAGGAAGACGGGGACAACCACAAAGACGGCGACTTCCGCCAGACGCGCCGCAACGCCGTCGCCAGCGCCGGCGAGGTTGTTCGTGTCTTTTGTTTATTTTGTGTCCGGTCCCTGCAGACGCGGCCTGCTGCCGTTGCTGATTCCGCCATTGCCACTGCGCGGCCGGGGGCCGCGGAAGGGACAGTAGAGACGGGTTTTTGCGAGCACCGCCTTCAGATTTACATGTTTTTTGTCATGAACGCGTTCCCCCCGCCACATCTCTTCGAAATCACACGACTGTTACGAAAATAAAAATAAAAGGAGGCCGAGAAAGCCAACCGTTCGTTATCTGCGCCTCCCACCCTTGGGCGGAGAAGAGATGCGCTTCCACCATCCTCCCTTTCTGATTTTGGGATCGTGGCAAAACAGTTCTTACAGGCACTGCGTTATTTTCTTTACTCTTTACTTTACTTTCCAGAACGCAACGCCTTAAGTATCATGTGAGCTCTTCTCTTTTTTTCCCCCGCTTTTGCCTCTATTGGCGGATAAGGCGTAGGAGCTTTCCCGCTTAAAAAAACAGGTACTGTCTCTGTGACTCTGTGTGAATGCATGTGCCTATAGTTGCATTCAACTTGAGCGGGGGTTGGAAATGACTACAAGATTCTTGGCTACGTGACCTACTGTGAATGCTAACACTAGACATTGCTTCTCAGTAACACATTCTTTTACCCCGCTTACTTTCTTGTCTTTCGTGGCTTTTGTTGCTCTCGTTAACAATAAATGCACGCATTAGTTGCTACACGCCTTTTTTTGAAACCCCAGGAGCAGCCACCGGCAAAGAAAACCCAGCCAAGTGCAGGTGGCAGAGCACTAAAGCCCACGGAATGGCAAAATATTGTCATCTTGCCCTGCTTTTGTTCTTGATATGCCAAACCAGTGAGCTCGCATTTGCCGTGGCGTCACCGAAGGAGCGGACCACTTTGTTTTCTGGGAATGATATTGCCTCTTGGATGAAACCGAGTGCCGGAAGTGCCACTCATCGCTTCCATGCGCCTTTCCTGTTCGGAGTGGAGGGGGGCATTGTCGCCACTGCTGCCGCCCTATACAATGGTTCCGAGAATAACAATAAACTGTTTTTGTTATCAAAATTCAGTACAGATGGCAGCCAAGTATGGAACAACAATACTGGGTCAGAAGTAACCACTGACGAAGAGGGAAGTGGCGAAGAGGCAGCGGCGACTGGCCCACAATTTCCCTTGAGGGTAATTGCACTTGTGGAGGGTCACGGCGAAAATGTTGCAGGCACGCCTTCAGGGACATTTGGTTACGTCACGATGATTGAGAGGGGGGAAGATCCAAGCGAAGGTCTGCAGACCCTTCCCATGTTAAGAAATTCCAGTATTGCTTATGAGGTTGCGGGTGAATCTCTGAGGAGATATCGGGCTTCCGCCTCCGCTGCAATTGTGACAGAGACGCACAGACTTGTGGTTCCTTTTGAGGC